CATTTTTCTTATACAGCATTTGCCCCCAAATTTCATATTCACATTTTAGCAATTATGCAGTAAAGGTTTAAACATAAAATTTAACAACAAGTTTGGCCATCTCTATGCCAATACGTATTTGCAAAAGTAATAGTTACGGCAGGTGAAATGACAAAAATGCCTAACAATACTGCCAAAGAAGTCCATATAATTATTGGAATGACTGTGTAAAAACGGACTTTATTATCATATATTAACCCTACTCCTTCCATATTTGTTCCCAATATAATAATTTTTGCTATGTAATAAATGGTGTTCAGCAATACGACAAAGTATATTGTAGATTTTTCTTCCTTGAAGAATAATGCATAAATTATAACGATGATAACAGTTATAAGTGTGTATAAGACCAATCCTATTAGTTCGGTTCCTATTTCCTATAAGGTTTCATTGGAAAGAAAATCCGACGAAAAAACCAAATTTTAGTGAATATTGATATCTTTACAACATATATAAACATTCTAAGCAAACATACTGATTTTTTTCGTTCCTCATCAATCCCTTCTAAATATCCAATTTTTTGATCAAGAGTGTTATAACGACTATAGATTTCTTTCTGCCTTCTGTTTAGACTATCATGAATTTTTTTTAGATGCGAAGGTAAACCGTTATCATTACCTAAAATAAACAGTATGGATAATCACTAAGACTTGAATGAAGTGGGAAACTACTACATATACAACAATCTTACCCTCGTTAGTGTTATTGTTTCCGTTGTTTTCGCTCATATTAAAGTACCAAGGAGAAGAGTATGGGAAAAAGTTAGTATAGGAAAATATATGTAATACAATATTACGTCATTACGTCATTTGAAGTAACCAACACATGATGCTGTAAAATATTGAAATAATAAATTTATTTTTGCTGAATACGTTTAGGTTCAAAAAACGAATAGCCAACTGATTTATATTTGCTGGAGTGGGAAGCTAAATTAACAGAATTGCCAAGCCCTTTGACAGATAATATTTGTTCTAGGTTATGTAAATGATACAAGAAAAAAACTGGACTCGATCCTTGGCTAAACTCTGAAACTTCTGGACATTCTTTAATCTATTAAAAAGGAATCCATTTGATTACATCTTCATATTCTGTGGCTTTAAGCCGAAATTCCTTAATGCAATCATCGATATCCTTATTTCCACTTGCGTTGTTTTCTGAGGGTCACATGTTTGACACAAGCGTTAGAAATATTATTTCGGTTGCAATTCGCACTTTTTACATTCTGTTCAGGTCTTTTATCATCAAATATTAATATATATTCATTCATGTTTGTGTTTTGAGCTAACCCACGATTCTCTAATTGCACATGATTTTTAAACTTATAAAATATACTTATAAACAATATATTATAGTTATCGTACGGGTCTGACGTAACAACCTGTGCGTCACTTCTTTTAAACAAACTATTTAATTAAACTATTTTTGTTTATAATTACTTTTTCTTTCTCCTTATTCGTGAAACTTGACACATTTGAGCTTAGTTTTCCATTCCAAAGTATCAAACAACAGCCTTACAGTGAACGATCCGGAAGCCCAACAGTTAAGAAATCATTTATTTATTATAAATACTAAAATACTTCGAAATCATAAAAGCGAAAGGCATTGTAAATGAATTTGCTATTTAGAAATAAATAATATTTTTCTAAATTACGAAAAATAATAGTTCACATTCGAATTAATATTAGTCCTCGCCCAGCAAATGAAAAATTTAAAAAACTACCCGACCTAATATAATCTTCAACCTGCCAATAAGAATTATAGAAAGCCACCAACCTAATTTTAGTCTTCACCCAACAAATGAAATTTTTAAAAAAACCACCGAATATAATATTAGTTTTTCCGGTAAATAAGAATTTTAAAGTGTTCGATCTAGTATTAGTTTTCGTCGGCAAATGAGAGTTTTAAAACACCATCAAACCTAATTTTAATCTTCGACGTAAGAATTTTAAAAACTACCCGACATAATATTAGTTTGCATAGCAAATGAGAATTTTTAGAAAACCATCCGATTTAATTATATTAATCTTTGCCAGTAAATGAGAATTTTAAAAAACCACCAGACTTAATATTAGTCTTCGTAGCAAATGAGAATTTAAAACCCTACATAATTTAATACATATATTATTAGTCTTTGCCAGAAATTGTGAATTTTAAAAAACCACGACCTAATACTTGTATTTGTCTTCGTCCAGAAATAAAAATTTTAAAAAACAACCTAGCATTTATCTTCATCCAACAAACAATAAATTATAGTTACGTAGTTTTTAGTAAAAGACGAAAATAACTTATTCTCACGAGTATATATGAAAATCACATGATTTTCATATATACCTGTAACTACCCAGGATCGCCAACAAAATTTCTATAATTTCTATGTAAATTTTTACCATCACGTGATGATCGACGAAAATAAGCCAATAATGAATCTCGATTTGGTGTAACGTCACGCGATCAG